GATAGTGTATTTTAGTGAGCTGGTGCAGCAGTGTGAACACCACGGAGTAGCGGTAACGGTGAGTACTCGCTTCATGCAGCAAGCACGACGACCAGAGTGATATAATTTTCATGTGACAGTGTTAACCTCCCCCCCCCCCCCATTTTCCGTATTGTTGTGGCCTAAGTGATAGTTAACCAACCCTCCAAAATGAACGGTCACCATGACCGTGACGACGACGGTGAGGACCCCCGGGACAGAGGCATGATGTCCTTCGCGGCAGCTCTCTCATTGATCCCCCAGTTTAGCGGAGAAAAGGGTGTAAAAGTCAAGGATTTCACTAAAGCAGTACAAAGCGCTGGGAAACTCGCGAAGTGTAATGATGAACAACTTGCCGAAGTAGCTAGGCTTAAAATCACCGGGCTGGCCAGTGAGTTTATTGACGCAAACCCCCATCTCGATGCAGCACCCTGGTCATTTATTAAAAAAGAGCTAGAAGCTAGATTCCACGTAAAGTCATCACCAGAAGAGTGCGGTGCGAAACTGCGCGCTTGCAAGCAGGAACCTAAGGAGACAGTCAGGGAATACGAAACTCGTATTCGTTTGTGGGGATACAGGTCTCTAAAGCTAAAGGACAATGACGAGGCAGGGAACAAGATTAGAAAGGAAATATTGGAAGAGGAAATGCTTTCGATATTTAAAAAAGGGTTAAGGAAGGAAATAGGGCGACCAGTGAACTCTCTAAATCCCAGTACGCTAGAACTAGCAGCCGAGCTGGCTGAGCGTGAGGAAGGCTTCGAGAATGACTCGCAGGCCCCTCTAGTAGCATCAGTTAAAAGAGTAGAGCCCCCAACCCCTGCACCCAGGTCTAGGCGAGACAACTACGACGAGCGTCGATCGTACGATCGATCAAGGGACAATTACAACGAGCGTAATCGCTCTAGAGGAAGGGACGGGTCTAGGGATCGCTACGGCTCCCGACACGACTCGCGAGAACGCCGAGAGTATAGAGACAATTATTCTAGAGGGCGTAGCTACTCACGTGGGAGAGACTACGACCGCGACGGGTCCAGAGGTCGGTACGAGTCTAGGGGACGGGACGAATCAAGAGGGCGTGACCGCTACTCTAAGGGCAGAGACGCGTCGAGAGGGCGTGATCGTGACTCTAGGGGCAGAGATGCGTCAAGAGGCCGTGACCGCGACTCGAGAAGCCGAGATCAGTCTCGAGGGCGTGACCAATCTAGAGGAAACAATTACAGCCGCCGTGACAGTTCATACAACAGGGACAGGTCGCAATCAGCAAGGAGGGAAAACAATAAGAGGAGTAACACTCCTTACAGTAGGGGCGCGCGGTCCGGGTCTAGAGGTGAACGCCTATGCTATGAGTGTTCCAGCCCAAACCACGTTAAGCGTGATTGCCAAATCGCAAAAGAAAAGGCCAGCAGGGGTGACAGGAAGGAAAACTCCCGCGGGGAGACCTACGGCCGCCAGTAGTGCCCTCCCCCAAACCACAGCTCGCAACTGCAAGTAATGTGCCTGGCGCGCGCGCGGGTCTGAAAGCTATTAGACTGCGTGCGCGCAAGGACAGGAAAGCAGACGGGTTAGTATGCCGAATGCAAGTAGGCGGTAAGCTCACAAAAATATTTTGTGATAATGGGGCTGCTATATCTCTTGTCAAGAGATCTGCAGTCCCAAAAGACGCCCATTGGAGGATGGGCAACTACACGGCCGAGGGTATAGGCGGCGCGCTCGTGAAACTTCTAGGTGACGCACTTATTACGCTAGAGTGCGAAGGTTACGAGTTCGATTTTAGATTTTGGGTGTGTGAGGACGAAGGAGTTGCACTCCAGGAGGACGTCTTGCTGGGCCTTGATTTTTTCATGGCCTACCGCGCGTCGATAAATTGTAAAGACCTCACACTTGAATTCCCGGAATTTAAAACCCCTCTGATACCAGTGTCCTCCACCTCAACGGGTGTGAGGGTATTGTTCCCCGCTAGGCCGATCCGTAGCAGGCCGGACGACAAACCGGCCAGCGCCACGCCCGGACCAGGACAAAGGCCGGGTGAGGCGTCGTTGACCGAGCCCATTCACGGGCAAGGCGAGGGCCAACAGCCCAGAGGAACCCCTGGCGCTGCCCCGCTGCAAGCAGGGCGGGCTGGGGAACACAGCGCCGCGCCGCTGGACAGCGGGCGGGCTGCCGACGCCACCGCCGGGGATGGCGGGCGGGTCGGAAAGGAAAAGGCCGGCGTGCCTCAGTTAGAATGTTCATTCCGGATTGAACGAGGTGAGTACCCAGTCCTGCTAGCGGACAGGGTGACTATAGCACCAAACTCGCGGGTTGCGGTTTGGGTGCGGCCCCATAAAAAGGGCGGCGGTAGCTCTGGTCTCTACGTAGTGGAGCCGGGTACCGAGAGCAGGCCAGGCCTGCATGTGGCATTCTGCCTTGTCTCAGTGGAGAAAGGAGAGCCATTTCGAGTCATTCTTTGCAATCTGACAAACGAACCATTGCCAGTCGCCCGGAATACTCTGCTTGGATATTTGGTCCAAGCGGCGGTGGACGAACACCCACCGCCTGGGGCAGCTCCCATAAATAAATTTGGCGCACCACGCGCCAAAGAAACTAGGAGCACCTCGGGCCTGGACTTGCTCTCCAGGCCACGCTCGCTGTCTCCCGCAGGTAGGACACCTGAGGGTGGCAGCCGCGGCTCGGGCTCCCGCCCAGGGCGGGACACCTGCACCGCAGGCAGTGAGGGCGCTGGCCCCTGGCAGAGCCAGGGGAGCACCAGTGTCATGCCACACCCGCCGTCCCCTGCTGAGTACAACACCGACAGGGACGGCCGCGGCGCGAGCCCCCACCTTTCGGGGCGGGACAGCTCGCACGCAGGCGTAAAGGGCAGAAACCCCTGGCAGGTAGGCCACCGGGCGCGATCTGCCACGCCACCCCCGCCGTCGCCTCACGGGCTGCGCCCTGAGGATCACGGCCGCAGGCCGGGCCCCCACCCAGATGGGAGGGACAGCCCGGCTGCAGGTGAGCACTGCGGTGACGCACCGCGGGTAGGCGACCCGCGGGGCACCGCTGAGCCCGCAAACAAGTCAACGGGCGGCTGGCCGGCTGGCCAGCCGTCAGAAAGCAAGGTGAAACAAATCAATGAGGAAAATCCACATGCAACTCCTCCCCCATCCCCCGCTGAATTATTAGCTAAGGCGAAGCTAGATCATCTCAGCAGCCCAACTCGAAAGGCGATCGAGAATTTAATTACTGAGTTTGCCGACTGTTTTTCGCTCGGCTCGGAGCGAGTAGGTACTTTCCCGATTCTCAAACACCAAATACCCACTAAACCAGGAGTAGTAATACGAAAAGCTAGCTACAAAATCCCCTACGCGCATCGTCAGAGTTTCCAGGAAGAAATAGACCGTTTATTGCGTCTAGGAATTATTGTGCGTAGCGAAAGTGAATGGTCGAACCCAATATTGTTTCTGGTCAAGCAGCTGCCTTGCGGAGGGCGTAAGGT